CCCACTATAAGCCTATAAGGATTTAAGAAAACAAACTTAATAGTTATTAATAATCGAGATATTCCCGAAAATTAGTGACACATGTTTCGAAACTTGAAAGTTTCAAACTCATGATGGACACCTAAATAAACAATTAACAAGGAGGGGTCAAGTTAATAAATTTACACTATCAAAGAAACTAGACTTCTTATATTGATAATCGAGAAATCTCTGAGGGTCAGCGATGCATGATCCGAAACTCATGACGTGCACTTAATGAGACAAATATGAATCCTTATCTTTAGAGTAATCTTGCATAAACATAAATCATAATCACAATCTATGAACGCAAAGAATAGTCTATCAATGCAAGTATCAGACACCGAAAAAGAAAAAAAAGGGAGGAGAAATGACTACCATACAAGGCAAGTTAAGAAAATAGAAGCTCACTTGCACAAAAAACTTACAAATTGATCATTATAAGTTGATGTTGAAGAGTTTATAGTAAAACTTACAAGGGAAAAAAGAAACAGAATTTACTGGTGCTCAACAAGTCTAAATGATATGAAAAATCATTAGTACAAAGAACTTCAGATGGATTAAAGTTGGAGAACTGTATCAAGCAATGGTGTTTCTTCATCCTCTACACAAAAAGAGAGAACCCCGTCGGGTTCTGGCAACTTGATGAAGAGTATGTTTCTAACTGCAGCTCGACCTACTTGGCTCGGTTTACCTTCAAGTAAGGCAATGCACCGATTACATTGTTGTAATCGCTGCGGTCAACTTGTACCTGTGTAACACAAACATTATATGATGAGTCATCTAACTTTGAAGAAAGAGTAGTACAAATCTTACGCCAAAAATTAGAGAGTTCATTCGCCAGAAAGTACACACACGTTCATCCACGAGGTTTTTGGCTTCAAGTTATATCTGTTTTATCTTCTATTCCCTTAAACCATCACTCATTCTATACTGCAATAAGAATAGCCTTTCAATACTTAGACATTGATCTTAGGAAGGTAAGGTCTGATAGTTGGTAGCAAAGTAGCAACAAACTTTTGTTTTTGGATAATCGTGGTGTTTGGGCTAGCTTGCCCACACCTTGACTAATTCCACAGTGTACCGTTAAAGTAGCAATAGACTTCTTGGTTTGCTGCAGGACATTTTGGTGAATCACATAATCATAATGCAGCTGGAAAGGATTGACTGAATTGACAAGGGTAATAACTTTTTCAGATGGGCAAGCAAATTTGTAGCTAACAAGTGACAAGGCATGAGCGAGATTCGGCCGGTGGTATCATAAATATGAGCAGATAAGTGGTGCAAATTTCGATGAAACTGTGAAGGAAAAGGCAATGCATAGGTAGGGTAGTGAGAGAACCTGCGGATATGGATGAATCGAACACCATTTGAGAACATCTTTATCGAAAACAAATGGTTTTATTAGAGACATATGGAAAGTAAAGGTAAAAGGGTGCCAACATGGGATTCTTTGCCATTTCTAGAAAGTGACATGCAACAAAATTACACAATCCCAAAATGCACGGTGGAAGAAAATACAATCATTTACATTGCATCAAAGATGCCAAAAATTAGAGCTAGACTCGGTATGACTTGGCCGTTGGGCTGTTATAAGTAATTAACTTGTACTTGACAGCACGCTTACAGACCTGCTGAATAAATTATTGGCCAATCATGGAATCATCATATGAACTGTTCAGAACTATCTTAAAAACAAGTATCTTACAAATGCGTAAATGACATTCTAACTCTCCTAATTAGTACTAAACCATACGTAGTTCCTCAATTTGTTAAGAAGAAAAAGTTGCTGCTCCTACGGGCTACGACAATGACATTTTTATTTTACAAATCCACAAAAATAGTTGAAACAGGTCCAAATAAAGCAAAATGGATTGTGAAGATCATATAGGCGACCCCAACTAGATTGGAATTTTGAGCATAGTTGTTGCTGTTATTGTATCCACAAAAATTAGTGAACAAATCATGTCAGCTTATGGCTAGCCAAATACCTAGGATTCTGCATCACTATCAGAAAGCAAACCTTATTTTGATACATAGGCATAGTCTCGAACTCAATTCAGCAGTCATTTACAGAAGTGGTACTATTTACTGCTACCAACGCTAATACTCTTCATCACAGTTATTGTATCCACTTTGAGAGAGCTACAAGAAGCACTGTGATAGGAGTTCGAGTTGAAGAAAATTTAGTGGCACGATTGGTAATGGAAGAGCTTGGGGTTAGCTATATGGAATTGGAAGTGTGCGGCCCTTTGAGTTAGCGATCAGTAGTATTTTCCTTCGGTATGTGGATGTGAATGGCACTTCAACCTCTTGGTTGTTGATAAGGACCATTGGCTGGCACGAAGTTAACACAAGTAAGTGAAGGTAACCTTTTTGGCATTTCTACACTTTTTTATGACTCTGTAATTCCTCAAATATAGAGTAGAGATTGTTCTTTGTGAGTTCCGATTACTTGATATGCAAAAGTTGCACAACTTTGTTGGCAAACTGCACGTAAACTAGAACTCTTGCAAAATGCATTGTCCTTAAAACAATGTTCTGAAGATCATCGCCTGATTTCTACTTCAACGAATGTATTAAAAGTTGCATTCCCTATGACATATGACATCATGGGACATAAAAAGGATAAGTTACAATTCTAAAATATATTCAGGCATTCAGAGAAGGTTTGATAAAAAACTGATATTCCAGACTGATAACAAGCAAAGAATTTAAATAAAGTTTTCACAATAGAATGTATGAGTTCTGAGAGAAAGAAGTTAAACCGTTTTCGAGAGCCTATTTTTTCTTTTGGTATTCTTCTTCCTAAGCAAATGCTGCTTCCCAGCTCTCCTCCTCATTATCTTCCCACTACCAGACACCTTAAACCTCTTTGCTGAAGCCTGAAAATTCCAAGATTATCACAAATTCAAACACCTAATTCACAATCCCCACAAAAACCTCCACACTTTAATATCCAAACACACACACACACACAAAAATGCAAACTCTACTTTGTGCTTGTGGGTTTTCATTTTTACAGTTTAGGCAAAAGACATAGAAAAAGAGAGCGGCCGAGCATCTAAATCCCCTTTACAAGTCATTTTCTCTCCACAGAAAATCTCCACATATGCATGCACACACATCAAATATAATGAGAACCGAACCGACCAAAAAACCAATACTTGTAAACCGATAATACATAAAACCGAACCTACTGATGCACACCCCTATTCTTCATTCTGTCTCCTTTGGGACACGTTCAAACACTTTCTTTTTTTTCCTTCCAAAATTGGGGGAAATGCATTTGGGAATTAATACGTGGGAATCTAACCCTTACCAACAACGTGAAAATTCAGATAGTCAACCAACTTAGCTACTAAGATTCTCCGTAAATTCAAACACCCAATTACAATTCCCATAGGAACCTCCACACATACCAAAACCACACACACACTATAGTGAGCAAAAAAGAATCGAACTTTACTTTGTGGGTCTTCATTTTGTACCCTTTGGCACACATCCTAACACCCTAATCACAATTCCCACATAAAACCTCCACAACAAACCTAACTCAAACACACACACAAAGAACAAAAACAGTGAGAAAAATAGAAACTTCTGTACCCTTTGCCACACACTACAGTTCAAGAATGTGGATTATCACAAATTCAAACACCCAAATAACAATTCCAACAGAAAACCTCCACACAAACCAAAACTCAAACACACACAAACAGCAAAACCAGTGATAAAAATAAAATCTTTACTTTGTGGGTCTTCATTTTATACCCTTTATGGCACTCTACAGTCAATGTCTTTGAATTTCCATTAGTGGGTGTTGCAGCAATCGAAACTTTCTCGAAGACAATTGGGGCAAAACTTGATATGTTCCTTGAAGAACTGAGACTGAGTGATGTTTTCTTGGCAATTGATGGAATGTTAACAGAGGTGCGGCAAGTAAAACCTGTTGATTTTCGAGGGGAAAAGTTTAGAACTGTGGAGAATAGTGAAGTTGAAGATGAAGAAGCCATTGTTAGAGTCATTGAAGCTTTTGTTTTCTTGAAGTTTTTTTTTTTTTGATATATGGATAATGTGAGGATTGAAAATGGCTCTTTTTCTATCCTTTTGTGGTACTTTTTTTCTAAAAAATTTATGGACCTCAATTTAATTTTATGGAAATATAGTAAAGTACCCTTATTGTTTGTGAAATTACACTTTGACACACTCATATGACTAATAATATTATCTCTCAGAAACTTTTTTTTTAACTCCGTCACGACGAATCAATTGATTTAATGTATATATTGTTTTCTCCTTTATCCTTCGTAAAAAAAAAATGGGTGGATGGAGGGATGATGTGCAAATTTTATGTTTTGATCAGTCGGGAGGATTTGATTAGTAGCTTTGGAAACTTTTTTCAACCAATATGACTTCAATTAAATAAGCATATGTTAGTTAATATAGTAAATAGACTTGTTTGGGATTATTAGATTTGAGTAGAACTCTCTGCTTGAGCGAATAGGAATTGAGATTTTAAGTAGTTCATTCTTTTCTCTCCGTGATTGACGATGACCCTAGAAGTTAAATACCTTTTGAAATTAAAATTTCCACTTTGACGAATAGAAATTGAGACTTTCAGTAATCTGTTCTACTCTCGTCTTAAGAGAATACTAACCCTCCCAATCTCACTAATCAAGTGGGTGTAAATTAAAAACTTATAAAGATTTGGCATAAACTTTAATGGGCTTTCTAATTCTTTTGTTTTCATCCGATATTCGATATCTACATTGATACAAATCCAAAATTGGAGATCTAACAAAAATGACTTCATAATTAAAGTTCAAGTCAAAACCTCTAAATAGAAATAAAGAAATACTTATCATTCTAGCGAGTGTAGGATTGACTTTCTAGTTGAAGCATATAGTGTTGCATAAAGTCTCGAGTTAATATTTGATGTAAAACAGATTAGTCAAATTACCTAAAAATAACTCTATATGTACACACTAAAGTTGGTCAATATTATCAATATATATCTGTAAATCCTTCAGGTTTGACAACATTTTTCCTTTACAAAAACACACATGCTCATAATAATTATAATTAACAGAAGAATTCAACCATATAGCAAATTCAAAATACAACAAAATCTGCTGCTGTATAGCCAAAGTTCTCAGCTTCAGAAGAAGCAATCAAGACCTTGTCAAGATGGCTATGGACTCCCACTCCAAACTACAAACAATGTCCTGCAAGGTAATAGTGTTCTTGATGTTAAATGCATATCATTAATAGGTTGAAAAGAAAATGAAATGTCAAGCAAAGCAAAAGATGAATTCGTAGGCGCCTGGACACACAGAGCAAAGTGATATTCACTTTGCCCTTGCAGCACCAATCTCTGTTGATTTTGGTCCAACTTGGAAACAACCTCTCTACCTTCTCAAAGGTAGGGGTAAGGATACTCTACCCTCCCTAGACCCCACCTGTGGGATTACACTGGGTTTGTTGTTGTTGCTTGGCTCAGCAAATACAGTTCTACCAGACTCCCTTCCCCCTGGTCCGGTCAGAAGCCTCACTTCCTATCTCGATTGGTCCAACCTTCTCTATCAGCTTGGTCGAGTGAGGATCATGCTAAGATCAGATGATCCTCCTACCCCTGCTTCAGGTTTTTGATATGCTACTCAATTCACATTTGCTAGGGAGTAAAGGATTATCTCGGACATAGAGGTATTGATGGTGATATTCTAATCTCACTTCAACTGAAGTTGAAAATAGGGAATTAAGAGTATTTGAAAGTTGAAATGGTGTTTGGACATGAGTTTCACTTGTAAAAAGTTGAAGTTTTGCAAGTGAAAACCATTATTTTACTTGAAATACTCTCAAACAAGTTTTCCAATATTCTTCCCCCATTATTTCAATGATATACTATTATTTGCAACCAAAGATCTTGAAATGATGCTCTTAAAGAACGTAAGCACATCGAAGTTATCATCGGATAAGGTTTCACATACTGATGGGTTTTGTCGATCAATGTCAAAGCTGTTGATCGCACAAGGTTCAGCAAGAAGCTCGACGGGTTCTTCACCTGGGGAAAACAAAGACGAACCAAACGAGTCGAGACCATCAGAAACAACTCATACACGAAAAAACACGGAAAAGAAGGTCTATGTTCTATACCTTGTTCAATTACGGCAAGAATGCCATCCTCTGAGCAAATCATGGCAGGAAGAACACGTGATTCTGACACATTTCGGTAGTTGGATGAAGTAGTATAGTTGTCATACTGGACCTCCCAAACATCACTTTCTGATGGTGAAAGAGCGGACAAATCACTGGTTCCAACACCAGAAAGCATTATAGGCTGCTGTTGCCAGCGAAGATCCCATGCAAACACAGTACCAGAAGAACCTCCTGCCTTCAAAAACATAGTAGAATTATAGACATTAAACTTGAAACAACCTTGCAAGCAAACATCCAGGCATTCTCAGTCATAACCTAGAAAATAATTGACCTTAGTACTAACGACCTGGTTATTTTGCTTCTAATAATCTCCACTTCATTCCCCTCCCCATCTCCAAAAAAAAAAAAAAAAAGAGAAAAAAAAAAAATAGGAAAAAGAAGATACTTCAGTTACTTGGTCCCTTGAGTTTTGGACTTCAGCATATTTCTTAGAAATGAACTTTCAATTAAGAATTTGTTGAAGGGAAGCCCATCAGATCTATCACGGGTTAAATACAAATAACATACTTGTGAAGACATCTGTATAGATATGCTATTAGCTACAGTTTTTCTATGTGAAAAAAAATTTTGCTAGTCTAGTTATGACGTTGAATGGCACTGGTGCACTCCTTGTCAGCAATGCCACTCATGATTCCCTCACTACTTTGGAATTTCTGATAATATCAATACATGTACATGTTTTAACCACATTCAAGTGGCACAATCTTTCAATTTTATCAGCAACTGAAAGTCAAGGTAGTCAGTCACAACCTTTCTTCTCTTAGTTATCACCTATGTTGCTCGGACTCTTCAATAATGTCAAGGGGTGCGTGTCGGATTCGCCAAAAGTAGTGTATTTTTGGAGAATCCGACATGGGTGCGGCATCGAAAGTGAAGAGTTTGCGCAACTTAGGTTATCACCTCTCAAAATTATGTTCCATTTAACCATAAGTTCACCTCCTGCTAGCTATTAAAACTGTAATTGAAGTTTTATGTTTCAGCTTGTTAAGGTAGGGATGAGGGGTGAACTAGTGGTCAAAGATCTGCTGACAACCTTGGCCATGGTTGGAATAACAAAAAAGGCAAACTAGGTAAAATACTTCTCATTTGCCTAAGTCTTGATAGGTAGAGTTTCCTGGTAGCTTAGTTGATAGAAGGTAATAGGTATCCGGTGGATTATATCAGGTAAGTTGTATGCACAAGCTAACTCAAATACCACCGTTATCAAAAAGGAAAAAAGGGTCAAGGAACGAGGGGTGACAAGCATTGTTAATCAAGAGTTAAAACGGAAGGCAGGAATATCAGCTTACAAGACAAGTATGCTTTCTTGATGGATGAATATCAATTGAATGTACAATTCCAGAAGTAGTTCCACGTGTCCTGCAATGTAGTCAAACACACTTTCAAAAAAGAAAAAGTTTACCTCAATAAAAAACAACAGTCTAGCCAGTTAAAAGATGTATATCATAGAATCACAAAGAGAGAGTCTTCCATATGCTATAACTAAGGAGTTGAAAATCAACAGAAAATTTATCTTCTATTTCTATGGGCCAAGATGGATCCAAATTGCAAGTCCAAGCTAAAGAGATGGGTAAAAGATTACTTTTTTCTCCTCCTTTTGTGTTTCCTTTCAACAGCTCAATATCAAGATAGTAGCATAGCTCTAAGCTGAAACATATCATCTGTTCAAATATATAATGGCTCAATTCCCTCATTCCAACCAGGCTCCCTCTTATCTACTTTAACTAAGATTTAGACCTATAGGTGATAGCTGAGACGCCATGGTAATTTTGCAATAAAAAGTCAGCATCTTCACTTCACATCAACTTCAGTTCACTTCAGTACTTTGTTATCAAATATTCCACAAGTAAGAAGTCTACCAAAACCAATTAACAAAGAACCACAAATAATACACCATGGATATATGCATTCATGAACATTCAACCAAAAAGCTCAGATATCAATATATACAAGAAATGAATAGCAATGCAGCTAAAATCCCATTACCAATTAGCTTTAAACTGCGAAACAGGTCCACCGGGGCGTCGTTGATCCCACCATTGCAGACCAAATCCCAACCCACCACTCACAAACTCCACTGGAGACGCCCACTTCACTGCGCCATACGAAACCAATCCATTACTATCAAACACCTTCCTAGTACTCAACCCCCCTCCAACAAAACTCACCCAATTAATCCTCCCATCTTCCCCAACACTCACAAACTCCGACCCATTTTCACTCACATCAATCCCATTAACCCGACCCAAATGAAACCCCTTTTCATCCACCGAATCCACAAATTCCAACGACCCATTAACCAAATCAGCTGTATAAAGCAACAGCGAACCCGAAAACGTGGAAGCAGCTATAAGGGGTTTATTGGGGTTTTGCGAAGTTGTCAATGAAGTGATTCTTGATGGGGTTGTGAGTGAAGATTGAAATGTGAGTTCTGGTGGGTTTGAGCTTGAATTTGAACTGTTTAAGATTTGGAGTGAAGAAGTTGAGGATTCGGAATCGAAAGCTGCAAGGATGATGTGACGGTGGAAAGCGGAGAGTTGAGGGAGCCAACGGAGGGAGTCAATATAGTGATCTTGAGGAAAACGGTGGACTTGGAGATTTTGAGAAGAAGAAGTGAGTACTGCCATTGTTGTGTAAGGGGTTTTTGCTTTGAGGGTTTTAGCATAGAGTTTGGGACTATATATAACTTTATGGAGAAGGTGAGGTTACTATATTGTAAAAAATAGACATATTGAGGTCTCGTGTGATAAGAATGTGTCATCGAATCTTAAATGTAAGTTCTATTAAGGGATAGTTATATGGTATTATTATATGGGGTAAAATATTGATCATCACAAACTCGCAGTTCAAAAGATTAAAGAACATTGAGATGAATCAGATGTATGAGCATATTAAGAGAAATAGGATCAGAATGAAGTTATTCGAGACAAGATAGGAGTGGCCTCTATATTGGATAAGATAAGGAAGGCGAAGTTGGGATGATTCGAGTATGTGGGAAAAAAAAAGATGCATGAATTTCCGGTGAAAAAGTGTGAGAGGCTAACTATAGTGGGTATAAGGAGAACTAGTGTAGACGTAAGAAGTTTAAGAGAAAGGTGATTAGGTAAGACATGACATACTTGCAGCTTACCGAATTCACAATCTTAAATAGAAATATATGGAGGTTGAGAATTAGGGTAGAAGGTTAGTAGGTAGTCAAGTGTTGCCTAGTTCTTTTTTTCAGTATTGTTATTGTTACTCTCTTACTATCTTATTTTTCAATTTTGTATTTACTTTATATTCTAATTTTTTTTCTATGTCTTACTTGATTGGATGGTCTATTAGAAATAAATTCTCTAGCTTCATAAGATAGCAATAAGATTGTGCACATATCCACTTAAAAATTGCACCAATATGTTAGTGTTATTGTTATTGTTATGCTACAGAAATCGACATATTGTAAGCTTCCACCATAAGTTACAATACATGTCAATTTAAAAAAACTTAGTATGATCCAGCATGATGATAAAAACCGGGGAAACTTAGTGAAATCTCACTAGCTTAGGAGCTAATTACTTAGATACACTCTAGTTTATAATATTAGAAATCTTATCAGATTTTGATGTATTCAGTACGTCCAAATACACGTATCTCAAGATACATGAAGTCAAAATTATGTATTATTTATTCTAGATACACCGTATTCAAGTGGATTCACACGTATCTAGAATACATCGACAACTCTCGCTCACCTTCCTCTCATCTTGCTTGTCATTCTCTTATATATACATATGGTATTCCACATATATGTGAATCATACCGGATACACACAAATACATGTGTCTAGTATGATTCACATGTATCTAGAGTACATGACTATCTCTCTTCCTATATCGCCTTCCTCTTTCCCTATTTTAATGTATCTAGTGGAAAAAATAATTCTTAATTAATCATACAATATATAATTATTTAAAAGTATAAATAGAATTAATATATATGATATGAATATATATCTAATAAAATAGTTCTCCCTTAAATTGCTTTTTTCAGATGAAAGCCCAATTATTTGCAAGCAGCCCATTTTACAATGGGCTTTTAAGAAGTTCAACTAAATAAGGCCTTTACAATACACATGGCAGAACTTGAACAATTATGTTCATTCTTTCGAGGATATCCTATAAAATTGAAACGATACAGAAAATATCAATATGAAAAAATATACAAAAGTCGAAAAATGGTCCATCTTTTTTCTCCATTCCACCAATTTTGTTGTGTGTTTATGGTCTCCATGTTTTTGTGATTTCCCTAGATTCTTTCAATCTAAGGTCTTTTTTTTTAAAATAAAAAAATTACTATTATTCCTCTTTGTTTATTAGGTAAATGTGAAAAGGCTTCTTGCATTATTATCAAATAATTATCAATTAATTCTAAAAGGAGGCTCCACTTAACTAATGTATTTTTCGCCACAGTCGAACCTTGTGTGATGAATTCAAATTAGTCGAGTCACTAAATTTAATATCGAATATAAAGAAAGAAAATTTTATTAGGATTTGCCAACTATAACCAGTTGAATTGGTAGTTGAGCTTTGTAAATATCTAATATAATAATCTTAGAGATTTTGCTCTGAGATTTAGATTTCTTTAACTATTTTCTGATTTTTCTCTTTGTTCGTGGGAATCTTGCAGCCTTTTAATTAATTTAATTCTACTTCCTCAGTCTTAACTATTATATTATTTGATTTTATCTTTGGAATCTCATTGATAATCACTGTTAATTCAGAAAATAGTAGTATCTACTTCCTTGTTTCAAATTATTTGTTATGATTTTTAAAAATAAATATTTTCAATTATTTTTCATTTTAAAAGTTCAAGATAAACTTTATTTTATTTTTAATTTTAAGTTTAATAATAATTGTCCTTGTAGACTACACTCAAATATAAAGAGATGAAACATAAATAAAGGAAGTAGATATTCAATGAAGAAAATTATATCTTAATACATAAATAAGGATAAAAATAAACAAATTTTGAGCCATATTTGCAATAGCAATAGAAGTTCTCTTTATGTTAAAAGATGATTTAAATTAGTGTCAGTTCTTAATAAAATGGAAAAAAATTACTAAAAGTTCTAAAGTATATTCTCAACTACTAGATCGAGTATATCATATATATGAATCTTTTTCTTTCATTGTGTTTAGGTCTAGTTCGTCTCTTTTTAATACCTCCTTATGTTCCTGCACATCAATTTTAGCTTTTGCATTTTGTCAAACTAAGTCACCCCAAAAGCTAATTTAATAGGAGGAGGATTGTCCACGACTTATAAAGAGCTCAAAGTTCTTGTTCCGATTCGATGTGGGATCATTCTTATCAATATCCCTTCCTTTTCACACTCAGACTAGTCATTCTCTATTTGGGGTTCCGGAGCGTGACATTTAAGGATCAGAAGTACTATACTCATAACGTCCCACATGATCAAACTTAATGGGTTTGATTCTGACATCTCGTCAAATTAGATCTATCTTGAAATCAATTCATATCACACATATCAACCACACTCATTTTTTCTGAATATATCAAATTTTAGCCGTCCAACATCTCCTTTTTTATAATTGTTCTATAAAACTTACCTTCGACTTTAACTAATTAGGATTCAACACCATGTGAGCCAATCTTTTTCTTCTAAATCAATTTTACATTTTTCTAGTATATTTACTTTTACCCTAACCAATTTGCCTTTGTGGTGTAATATTTAACATAATTTATTTTATTTAAAAAATTGACTATTGGTGGCTTAAATGCAAGGCTAAGCTAGTTGTCTTGTTTGGGATAAACATAGCAACATGATTATGATTAGTTACTTTAAAATTACAAAATGTATTGCTTCAATTTTTTAAAGAGGGATCCTTATTTTGCTTCTCTTAGTAAAGATTTGGATTTGTTTTTAAACGTTACTTCTAATCATAAAATTAATCTTCTCCTAATACCTAGAAACTAGAATATTTGTTTTAAAAAAATTAAACAAAATGATTAAAAGAACTCCATAATGACATTATTAATTTATCCTGATTTTTTATGATCGTAACAATAAAATAATGTTGCAGAACATATAATATAACACATCATCAAAACTCAATTGAAAAGAAAATTTAACTGATATAACGAAATAAACATTATAGAACAATCTAACTATAATTAGAGACTGGTGGAAGGTTCCTTTGAAGCTTCCTTTTTTCGATTGATGGATGAGCTTTTGTCCATTTGTATTTTATTGTCTTTTATTTTTAATTATTTATGGTCTTTATTTTATTTTCTTTGGATTGAGCCTTTGTTGGGTTGAATCCTATTTTTGAAAAATAAAAACTATAATGAGAAACTATAAATATATATATATATGAGATACAATTACTTTAAGTTAGGAAAATCTTACAAGTATTTACTTCGTCTATTTCAAAATACTTATCATGTTTCATTTTTCGAGAGTTAAACTATATAATTTTTTATTAATATTTTAACATGTATTTTTTCATCATATTGATATAGAGAAAAATTATGATTCACATTTTTTTTTGTATAAGTTTCATATACGTAAATTATTGATTTAATTTTAATTTAGTCTAATTTAACTATAAAGATTATTGACACTTGAAAAGCGATCAAACGTGATAAGTATTTTGAGACCAATAAAATATAAAGATTATTTACTTCCAATTATGCTCTTAAGGAATCTTACAATATGCCCCAACGAATCTTAGGCAAAAGCCAGCAGAGCACTTTTCTTTTCTAAGTAATAAAACCAATAAAATTCAATTAATAGTCAAACACAAAAAAATATTCAAGAAAATCAAAAAAGTTATATTTTGCTTTTTATCTTTTTCATTTTTATTTAGCCATTTGATATTCAAAAAGCTTGGTCTGATTAGTCTGGATTTGTATAAACTAGGAACGAGGATCACTTAAAGAGTTGAACACTTCTTATCTAGAAAAAAATTATTTTGTCGATTCGAATATAATTAGAATTTTTGTGTGTGCTTGGTCCGAGGGAAAATGATTTAAGGAAAATATATTCATATAGAAGTCTTTGGTGATTGAGACCCTTTGATTTAACTATTCGATATTCAAAATATCTATCTAACTAATTTATTTTTTCAATGTTTGACATGATAAAAGTCATTTTCCCTTCATTTATGGGCGAAATTCATTTTACTTTACTATTTATCTTAGTAGTAACTGTTAACTTCATATTATTTACTTTGACTAACAATGACACACTATATTAATTTTTAAGTAGTATGTAAAAGTTCCATCAAAACACTCCAATTTGTTGATATTATTATTAATTTAATATATATCTTGTTAGAAAATATTCTTTCCTAACAGACCAAAGACTTGAAAATATTTTCTTGATTTTATTTCAAGAAAAGTATTTTTCGTAAAAAAAAAACCTTTACTATAAAACACATCTTGAATGATGATGAAAGGGTCTTAATAATCAATATGGGTTGTGATGGAATGACTACAATCTCTTCATCGTTAATCAGAAGTCTTAAATTTAAAATTTTAGAAATGACCAAAAAAAAATCATGTTGGAAGTGTTATCCCTAAAAACGTACCCTACAGTATGTGAATCTGAATTTAATTGAATCTCAATACGAATATCGGACGAATTGAGTGAAAAAGCAAAAGAACTTTTCCTCACGTCTTAACAATCTTTTAAGATCTAG